TTCGTGCCTGTATGCTTCTTGGTCTTCATTACACGTTCCTTCTGGAACAGGGAGTGTGGTCCTCTAAGCTGCTAAATGCTGACACCAGCATAATCAGGAGTGGCCTTCTCCTGTGTGGGTTTGCACCTCAGTTTCTGGCTTATTTCCCAGAAGCCCTGGGGACTATATAAAAGGATAACTGCTGCAGTCAGCAGCAGCAAACTACCTCCAGTGCAGTTCCTGTTTGCAGGTGAGTCAACCAACTGCTTGGGTTCTGCAGAACTGTGAGGTTAACCCAGATGACCTACAAAAAGCATCTTCATTCCCCTGCGCCCCAACCTCCAGGTGAGGGATAGAAATCTCCTGAGATTACAACTGATCTCCAGATGACAGACATCAGTTCCCTCGGAGAAAATGACTGCTTTTAAGGGTTGACTCTATGGCATTATACTCTGCTGAGGTCCTTTTCCTCTCCAGTTCCTGCCCTTACCCAGGCATTACCCTCAAATCTCCAGGATTTCCCAAACAGGAGTTGGCAACCCTAGTCATGATCATCTCCCAGGTGACAAAGTCATCTTTGACTCTGGACTAGAAGTATACCAATCAACTTGAGCAACATAGCTGCAAAGTGTATAGCTCTCAATGCAAGTCTTTGAGCTAAGAGTTACAGAAAGAAGGGAATTAAAAAGGTAAAAACTTCCACTTCCATTTTGTAAATCTTGATGCATGAAGTTTTGACACTGTGCAGAATGAGGCACAGCATAGGCTTTGCCTCAGGCCTGAGCTTTGTGGGTTGTCAGGGGGAACGTACGAAGATGGTTTTGCTAGCCAGCAGCTTAGAGTAAGAACATAATTTCCCTCACTCATGACATGCCATAACCAAGGCTGTCACAGCAAGGAAATCCAAAAAGGAAAGTAGCCGAAGAGCATCCTGTTGCCAGGTTGCCCCAACAGAAGGTGAACCTTAGATGAGGGAGATTTACTATGCAGAGCCAAAAGCATGAATTATAAGAGTCCATCTGATTTTGGATGCAATTTTCCTCCACACCTACACAACCAGAATTGAACATCTCCTGAGTTCAGCTCATCAGAAAATGCTCTTTTTGCATTACCCAGCAATTGAACAGTGTCACACTGTTCACCAGATATCCTACCTGTAATAGCAACTCGCTGTGCTTAAGGAACAAATCAAATGGCAGATAATGTTCTTTTAGCATTGGTGTACTTTCTCTGCATGTTAAAGAGTATATCATAAATGGGAGGTAAGAGAGAAAAGAAAAACCCTGATTTTTTAGATTGTCCAAATGTATTCCAAAGCCATTTTTAGTAAATGGCACTTGTGATTAAAAAAAGGGCCACTGTGGGAGAACATCTTTGCTATGAAGCAAGATGCTTTCTGAACTGACACTTTGCCTCTTTCTAAACTTGCCTCTTTGACACTAAGAAATAGAATTAGAATTGTGTTAACTCTAGTATGTATTGAATTTGTACACTGCAGTCTGTGATTCCTCCAATTAATTAGAAAGGCTTTGTGTGTATGCTTACTTATTTGCTTCTTATTCCACAAATTCCAGGGTTGAGCCCTGACTTAACATTTAGGAATGTGGTCATGCAGTCTAAACCCCAGGGAATCTCTGTCTAATTTTTACTGGTCACATGTGTTTCACACTGCATGCCTGACATTAAGACACCAGCTTAAAAATGTATTCTGACATCACAATAACATGGATGCAGCTACAACATTATGAAAAGTCACACATGGTATGTATGTGCTTGTGCAGTGTTGCCACATGGAAGTCAACAGCAATTTTAATCAACATTTTTGCTGAATTTGTCC